TGCAGTTGCCTTTAGAAGCAAGTGCCCCATTCGATTCCTGACTGGCCAGATCTTTTCTGCATGTCTTTCCTGTGCTCTCTTAGTGCACATTTCCCATCTCTCTACACTGTCTAATAAAGGCAAAGAATACCCCCCAAAAATCCTAAAACATGTCTAATTCTTCTGGTCAGTATGCCGCAAGCGCTCATCACAACCCATAGGCCACATGGGGGTAAATGTTGCCATGGTAATGCAGTCAACACACGGAGACAGCCATAAATAGGCAGGCAGGCCATCTGAGTGGTGTGAGCACACACACATGCACGCACGCACGCACACACACACACACACACACAACCACGGCTGCGACCCAGCGTCACTCTGTCCCCCTATGAAAGGCAGATTGTGAGGGCTATTTCTGGAGGGCCTTAAAGGCTGCAGTCCTGCTCTGGAGTGATGGAGGAAGTGGCTGCCCACAGGCAGGCACTGCTGGCAGCATCACACACACTCCTCTCTCCCCCATTCAATGCCATGCTTCCTCTTGCCCTCAATCTGAGAGGTTTCTTCCCATCTGAACTGTATGTATCTTGCTATAAATCTTTGCTTGCATTCATACACTAAGCACTAACGCACCTGTGAGCACCAAATAAATTAGTCACTGCTTCTTCAGTACTATAGCTACAGTCTGAATGAGGGACGTCAGACATGCAACATTGCTCTACCAAGTGGATTCCATAATTCTGAGAACCACACCTTTTTCGATAGTATTGTAGGTACTGAAGGCACCATAGAGACTGTAGGTACTGGAGATACTACACACAAGCAGCAACATGTGAAATGGTGGTGGAAAATGCAAGTGCACCGTCGCCTCTGAAAATGAATAAAAGGCAGTTTACAGAGACATGCTGTGTTTTGATCATATGATCAGGGACAATTTCTGGATAACCAGAAGTCACAGTGTCACACAGCCTGAAAGGAAGAAAAACTTATCTAAGTAGCTCAAAGACTGACATTTGCAACTATACACAGAAGTCAAGCTGAAAGTTTCTTTTTATTACCCCTGACATGTAGCTTCCTGATATGTTACACACAAAGTACAAGACCTGCATCTGCTGGAGCAATGCTCCAGACGCAGGCACGAAGGCTATTGGTGTGAGCAGTGACTGCTCATAACCTCAGTCACTATTGTCAGTAGCATTACATCTGTCAAAATGTAACAGCATGCATTTGTATGTTACCACAGTGTGTGTGCAGCATTTTGTTGCTTTGTTTTAAATAACAACATCTAAGTCAAATGCATTCATTTAACTGATTAATATATTTAGTGTCGGGAGCTGCAGAACTTCAATGGCATTGGTAATGACCACCAAATTTGTGCCATCATGACATTCCGTTCAATATACTTTAGCCAAATTCATCCTGCTTTAGGAAACTTGGTAGAATTTAAGGCACCAAGCACACATTGTAATGTCATTTGCTGATTCCTATAGAAGCCATGAAATATCCAAAAAAAAAAAAATATTTAGAAAAAAGATACTCTGCCTCATCTCCAATGTAAGTATGCATCTTAGAAAACATCTTATGAGAATTAGCACAATGGAAATGTTACAGCAAAATCTGTAGCAAATTCTAAATGTTTCACATAGCTATCATCACATTGCCAAGCCCGCCATAGACACACACACACACACACACACACATATATGTGTGTGTGTGTATATATATATATATGTACCCACAGTTCTAATACATGCACTACAAACAGATTTTGAGTGAACAGGAAGTGATACAAGCTGTAACATAGCTCTGCCGTTACCATAGCCAACAACACAAGTTTCAGTACTAAACCTTTTCGCTTACTTTCTGGAGTCTTCGCTTACAAGTCTACATTTTAAATATCAAATGCTGTCTAAATACGTGCAGAGATTCTATTACCAGATAAAAACATGCATCAGTGTCAGTCAGTCTGGCGTCACTTAATTATCTAAAGTCTCAGTCAAACTAACAAAGTTGGCAACCAAAGCAGTGCCAGAAGTGAAATATGAAAGTACTTTGCTTAGAGAGCTGACAACTAACCAACACCACAATCACTACTATAAAGCTGTCCCAGTAAAGAGTCACAGCAGTACTCTGCTTGATGCCTTCTATTTCGTTTACTAACGTGTCATAGCACCCTTAAGTCCTGGTAGCAATGTCCCAACTTTACAGTCACGAAAACACTGTACAACGGTAACACGTGTACACCTCTTTGTGTCCTCGATGGCCTCCAATGTTGTGAAAGGCCCCGACTTGACTGCAAGCTCTAGGTGTGTGTGTGTGTGTGTGTGTGTGTGTGTGTTAAAGAGAAAGGCTGCCAGAGCTGTCACTCCAGACTGAAAACAACCACCCTGCATTCTGTGTAGAGCCGCAGCCGCAATGACCAACACCCTCAAACTGCAGCGCCGGAGGCACACAGATGGAGCTACAATGGAGCCTGTATGTCAGTGTCTGTGCGTGTTGTGTGTGTGTGTGTATGTCTCTTTACTGTCTTGAATTAGAGCCCCTTGCACAGACGCACACTGACCAATCACGCCCCTTTCCTGGTTTTCAGACACACACCGGGGGGACAATCTGGATTCTCACTCTAAACATAAGTCTCCCTCGGGTCCTCTCCCCAGTTTCCTGTTTGGGCCTCAGACTGTGAATCCAATTGGCTGCTGGGTCGTCGGCACAGTGAAAGAACCGCTGTCAAAACAGTGACATGCTGTGGAGTTGCTCAATAGACCCTTCCTACTAGGCCCACACCCCGGCAACTATGGACTCTTCCCAACCCACAGGCAGCCATCTTGGCTCTAAAATCCACTGATGGTCTAACAGCATCTAGGTTGAGCACAATGTGAGCAACCTGACACTTTATAGACAAACAGTGAGGATGAATGGAAGATTCAAGGCTCTGTCCCCAGGTTAGCATCTGTTTGTCAAGCCAAACTGTCACAAGCGGTTTAAAAGAGAACAAAAGACATGAGCCCCATGAAAAATCATAAAAAAGCAGGTATGAAAGAAATTGTAGCTGCAGGATGCTGTGTTGGTAAACAGCCACTAGGCCCCTGGTGGTGACAGCACTCTGACAGGCAGATGATGTCAGCCTGAAAATCTGTCAGTGCCCACGCTTGTGAAACATTCCACAAACTGACTGACAACCAGCAACCACTCACACACACAAACACGTAGACAGGATGTATGAAATATTTAGACACAGAAGAAAATTCCCTGTACTGCAAGTGTTTTCTTTTAGTCATTTAGTGGCAGCACACCACATCTGGAAAAATAATAATACAACAATACTGTATGCATACACATAAAGCTAAAAATCTGAAATATCACACTCTAAATCTGACCTTTGACAACTTTTACTGATGCCACAGGCGACACTGATTATTGATTAGTGATGTCAAGTGAAACAATAATAAAATCTCTCTCCCAGCTCTTCTTAGGACCTAAAAATATGTGTGAGACACCAGACACAAACAGAAGAGCAAAAGACAGTATTAAAGATTGTGTAACGGCACTCTAAGCAGAGGATGTTCTCAGGAAGCTAATGATGATGATAACGACGGCGCATTCAATGGTGATGGAGAAGATAATAGTGATGGGAATAATCTTGCTGCAACCGGAGATGTTTACCACAACAATATGCCTCCATCTAGAAACTTAGCATGAAGTGAAGTTACTCAAAACAGTTAGGCAGCAGGAGAGGAGCAACGCCAACAATCATCATCACCCTTAATTGTTTGGTTTTTATGAGGCATGGGAGCTTTGATCCATTAAAGCCAGTGTGGCTTTAATGTCTGGTTCCCAGATGCTTTTTACAGGTTTGTTCTACTCTGCATTGCATTCAGGCACTGTAGAACAGGAAGGAGAGTTTCTGCAGAGTTTGCAGTGTCCACGTTATAACATCCTGTATTCACCCCCTTCTGAAAAAAATCACAATGCAATAAGTGTTTTCATACAATTGGAAAAGTGATGTGGGGTGCTCCAGCATCGTCGAGATAAAAGCAGCCCTCTGCCTGCTTTTAGCCACAGAGCAGTTGTCATGTTACGATTCGCCTCGTGAATAAATCATTAGGAAAAATCCACTCTAAATAAAAGACTAGCATGTTACAAGTTGCATGCTTCCATCGGATCGGAGAGTTGAATATTTCATGATTAAACAGGCCATTATACTGCACAGATCTAGGCCAAGGCTCCGGCTGAAGGGGGGTGGGGGGGGGCAGATAACGGTCCAAACCCGTCCCAACAACGCAGGGCAGCAGGGCTCCGGTCCGAGGGGGCTCAGGGAGGGGCAAAGCCATCTGGGTTAATCCACGCAAAACACACACAAAGAAAACAATCAGCAACACCGACGTGGAGAACATAGATTTTAGTTTAAAAATCACGTTCTGAATCAGGTCCAGGTGGAATCAGCAGGGTTTTGGTGGTGTAACTGTCCCATGGAGCCGCTCAGGACCTTGCAGCCACAACACTGACAGCCCGGGGAAGGCTCTGCTTCAACAGGTCACATTAAAATGCCCCTAGAGAAGGAGCGACAACAGAGTAGGATGCAGCTGAAACGGAGAAACGAGTAAATAAATCCGCCTTAGGTCACAGTCGACCAACAGCCACCCCCCTCACTGCTAGCCCGGCTAGCATTAGCTCCTAGCACACAAAGTTAGCCTAAGTTTGCTGTCAGCGCAGTGGGACCGCTTGTTTGGTGAAACTCAATCGCGTTTGGAAGTTGAGGCTTGTAATGGCGTTGTGCACTCGGTGTGTTATCCAGGCAAAAATGCGTGACACCGGCTGACAGGCTCACATTCAAGTACACTAATCCCGTGAGGCCTGCGCGTCCCTGGCCTAAACTAAACAAGCAGCCCGCTGACAGCGCCTAAAGTCGGTCAGCTGTGAGTGGCGGCCCGGCCAGTCCCGCCTCCCTCCCCGCCTCCTGTTTACCCACAGCTAATCATACGCCGCTACAGCTAGCAGGGCAGGCTAGCTCAGGCACCCACCTCGCTTGTCGAGGTCGTAACCGACCACAACAAAGTAGTCGGCGAGCCTGGCCATCTTGGGAGCTCACGGCGACAGGCCTTTCTTGCTAAATCCTCTTCTCTTTTCGCCGTCAATAGTCCATTTACGTCCTGCCGGCGACAGACACATCACGGGCGACAGTAGCATCCTTCCAGCTGCACCCCGCCGCCATACTGTCAGTCTGCCTTGCCCTGACAGCGGAGAGCCGCGAGTCTGCGCAGTGAGGGACTTCCAGGGAGGGGCTGCTGAGCAGGAATGTCCCATGTGGGGCCGAAAGTCTGACCGAAATCTAGAATAAACCCAATCAAGCTGCAGCAGTGTCGGCGCTAAAGGGGTGAAAGGTGGTGACGATTGTCAGAGCCCTAAAATGACGAGGACCCACAAAAATGTAGAGGGACTGCCTGACTTTGAAATGACAAGAGCAGTGCTTATTAAACAGGGGCCAGAATTAGTTTTTAGTGCCTCTGATTTACTGTAAAGAACACAGACATATTGTAGGTTACAAGAACAATTATTGCTATCCCCCAGATAAAAAAAAAAATAGAGGTGGGACTTTAACCCGTTAATCAATGTACTTTAATGCATTAATGGCGATTAATTAATTACGACAAAAATTAACGCATTTAATCGCAGTTTGCATCCAGGCAACACAAAACGTTTGTCAGTGCCCGAATTCATGATCCACCGATAACACTGATGCACGAGATGTGTCAGCGCTATGCTAACATGGAGGAATCCGATAAGAGTGCATCGCTTGGACTGATGGAAGGCAAGTTTCATTTAAAAAACTTGCCTAATGGAAACCTTGACAAGAGCGTGGTTTTGTGCAACTTGTGCAAAAAGAATTTGCATCCCACCGAAGCACATCAAGCTGACGGTACCACCTGAACGCAAAACATGTTGCAGCGAGCACAGAAACCACTGGAGTTGTTAGCGCTAGCAGTCCTGAGGGTTGTAATTACAAATCCAGATTAGTGGGTTAACGAGGTATGTAAAGCCAGAGTTTTCAGGATCACGAAGGTGGCTCTCTTTTTACCAGTGGCGGCCGGTATATAGGGGCGCTGTGGGCGGAGCCCCGCCTGAGCTGCGTGAGCCAGCATGAGCAAAAAGAAATGTCTATTATTTATCTGAAACTTATAGTCAAAATGAGGAAATCATGCTATTATACCAATCATTCCCTTAAATGTGTATTTCAGTCC